GAACTGGGGTACAGGCCAGAGGTGCAGGGGCAGTGAGAGGCTTCACCAGAGACAGAGTGGGGAGCAGAACAGGCCGAATGATGAAGTACACTGCTGAGGGGAGCAGCAGGTGGGTCAGAAGAGGTCTGCCGTGCCATATGGGTCACCTCCGGGGTGGGGATGGAACTCATCCTGAAGTGGCTTTAGTTTCTCAGTGTTGTGCTTTAACCCACTGCACCACCAGGAGGGCCCATTTTCTATATAATTTAATAGCAACAATGTTCCCAGGCCAAAAAGAGAATCTACCAACTCATACCAACCAGAACCCTTCTGCTTTCAGATAACAGGGGAACCTGGACCTACACACCAGCATGGACACATTGCCATTTTATGAGCCTACTTACGGCAAGTGGCAGAGTGAAAAGATCCCAGAATAACAGGGCACAGTCTGGCCCCAGCCATTAGACTGTGAGCTGTGCCTTTAGGCCCCAAGACCTGATACCCCAAGTGTGTTCAGGGCCTGACATGCAACTAGCAGAGGCTGTGGTGAGCAAGCGGTAGGAGATGAGCTTATAGAGAAAAGTGGGTCAGACTTTTCCATGGGTTGTGGGACCAACTCCAAGACTGATGGAAACACAATCTTATATAGGAAATTGGTTCTCCACATAACTTTGTAAATTTCCCAAGAATCATTGTCCCAATGTAACCACATTCATTTTCATGCTTTAAAGCTCTCATGAGTTTCCTGTTTCTCATAAGTCCAGGCTTCTTGGTGAAGTTTCCTAAACTGGGCACAATCTCGCGCCTACCAACCTCTTGACCTCATTTTTCCCACTGTCCTTATATCCTTATTGAGCTGAGTGTGGGTCTCCTCTAAATGGGAAGAGCTATTCAGGCCTCTGGGGCTTGTCCACACTTGTCCTCCATCCCTCACCTCCTCTTTCCTCAGTAAATGCTTACTATAGTTAAAAATCCAGTCAAGTTTCACTACTCTGAAGAGCCTTACTTACATCTCTGGTGTGGAGCTGACTGCTTCTCCCCATCACTCATCGACCTCCACTGCAGCACTCAGCTCATTGCTGTGCCAGCTGTTGGCTTTGTTACAGGGCAGCCCAGTGTGAACCGGGCTGCGAACCTGGCTGCCTGTTTGTGGGGCCTCACCCGCACGTTTAAAATTCAGTTGCACTGCAGGCGCACACAAAATGGGTTTATTTGCAAAAGGGGAAAAGAAAAGGAAACAACTGGAATATCTTACCGGCTCCACTGACTTGGTGCTCTGATAAAAAACTAACCGAAAGCCCCAAATCACACGGTCCAGAGAGCCGTTTCTCAAGCAAGAGAGCGACAGACAAAATTGCGCCCTATTTATCCCCCAAAGTCCCAGAATTCCCGCTTAGCTCCACCCTTGGGTCCTCACAGTTCTCTCCCTGGTGCTGCTGGGAGTTGTAGTTTCCAGTCACTGGAGTAGGCGATAGAGTCCAAAAAGCCGGAGTAGAGGGTGGAGTCCATAAGACTCTAAAGAGTTCCTTTAGGACATCCTTCCCCTTAACAGCTTGTCTATGCCCACAGCCTATGAGCCTGTCATTTATTCATTCACTCATCCATTCCATAAATCTTCTCACCCATAAATATGTTAGGCACTGTTTTAGACACTGGGGATACAGCCATAAAATTAAGCTGGCACAAATCCCTGCAATCATAGGACTAGTTAGCGTGAAAAGACAGGCATTAATAAATGACACATGTAAAATGTCAGATTGTATGGCACCAATGCTTCCTGGATTCCTAGCCCCTTCAGGTGGGTGGGGCCACAGTGAGAGCCCACATTGGCTAGTGGATTGAGAGCAGAGGTGACGTGTCACTTCCAGTTCAAAGCATTTTAGAGCTGGTTCCTGACCTCTCCAGCTTCTTCTGCAGCAGCCTGTAGAAATGACGTGAGTCAAGAGATAGAAACTTCCTGGATTCCTAGGTCTCTGCTAGAAGATGGCTATCTTAGAAAGCAACTTGTCTCAGAGTGAGGAAGTGATTTTTTTTTTTATTTATTTATGAAAACAGAGCTGGGGTATAGGCCAGAGGTGCAGAGGCAGTGAGAGATTCACCAGAGACAGGGTGGGAGCAGAACAGGCCAACTGATGAAGCACACTGCTGAGGGGAGCAGCGGGAGGGTCAGGAGAGGTCTGCCGCGCCATGTAGTCACCTCTGGGGCAGGCCGGGGATCAAACTCACACTGAAGTGGCTTTAGCTTCTCAGTGCTGTGCTTTAACCCACTGTGCCACCAGGGAAGACCCAAGGAAGTGATTTTTAAGTGTGAACTACTGAGATTTGAGAGTGTTTATCACCATAACCCAGTCTGTGAGGACTCACAGAGGGGTAGGTAGAGAAAACTTCAGAAGGCAGGAGGAGAGAGAGGAAGTGCAGTATTGTGTGGGATCCTCAAGGAGGGCCTTACTGGAACAATACTATTTGCTTAAAGACCTGAAGCAATGAGGAAGCAAACCACATGATAAGGGGAATGGAGAGCCA